ATGACAGGTTGCGAAATTTCGCGTAAATATTTTATTTTCCGTTAGCACGTTTTACGTAGCGTCGAGTCGATCTCGCGCGATTAAAATTTCGGTTGCTAGTTGCGAAGAGTACGGTTTCCAAGGGCGGAGAAATCGGAGCGAACGTGGCCAATCTTGCGACGCGACAGAGAGGAAGCAGTTATCCGCAGTTTGGCGGGCGTATTCAATGTCATGTTCCTTATCTCGGCTAGTCGCGCAGTTATGGCGTTTGATATTAATTAGATGCAAGGTGCCTTGTTTCTCTTTGGCGCGTTAAGACGTTCCACCCCCCCGAGTCGGGGTATTTCCGCGATGCTAAATTCATAATTTCCGGGAGACACGTTTCGAAACTTTGTCCGTTTCGCGCGAGCAAGGAACACCCGGAATAATTGGCGAACGCCAGTGTATCTGCAACGTATGTCCTAAGAACAGCGAAAATTATTATTAGTTGGCCAAGGTGTCGCGCGATCGATTCGATCGTTCGCTCTTGAACGCTCGTTTACTGTTCACGAAACAAAACGGTTTGCAGGGATCCGGGTTAAAGACGAACGCGTTAGTTGATTCGATACGCGGGAAATGGCTCGAACAATGAAAGAACGAAAGAGGAGAGAAACGCGCGTTGGACAAAACGATACGCGCGAACCCGCGAGTATCTAGGCAAGCATACAACCCGCGGGGTTGTAACAGCTCTCGGCCTTTAGCCGCACGCCGCGATAAATAACCGCGTAAAACCGACGCGGAACGTTTATCGCGCCCAGTGATTTGTGGAGGCGGTAACCTGCCACGGACCTAGGTACCGCTTCGTAACCGAGCACCCAGAAATCATTTCCTTTCACGTCTATTACTTCTTTCTATCGTGTCGAAATTGTGTCGACCGTAGATTTCTCGACGAATCAAAGAACGCTACATCATGGTGATCTCGAATGGGTCCAAAATGCCACGCGTTGACCGGAGAACAACGTCGAATCGCCAAGATATTCTCGTATCGTAAAACTCGGTTCTTTATGTACCCGGTCGTAAACTGGAGTCTCGGACCTCCGCGCATAATAATCGCGAATCTCGATTCGGAACTTTCGATACGAAAGTCTCGGTGATATTCAACTGGGGAGTAAACGTATTTGTTCAACGACGTTTGATCGACTTGAGGATAACCTAAAATTAACAGTTTTAAAGGTGATAGCGTTTCATTTTGATTCTGAGCCAGGGAGATAATAACGATCAAATTTCATCTATCTTCTTCTCATTATGTTAGGGCTTGGTCCCGAGTTTCTGATATAATGCGAGAAGCTTTGCGGTAGGCAGGCCGAGACTAATTCCAGGGACGTCGGAGGCGGGGGTAGCTAGTCTACATCGTCCGTACATCGACGGATACCAACCTCCGCGTGTATCCGGCTTAATAGTCGCGTTTCGAGAACGAGACTCTCGAATATAAGTAATTTTGCCCCGTCATAGAATGTTCAGTTTACGGGTTCCAGGGTAAAATTGTGCTCAAAACTGTAGACTTTCGTGGTCTGGCTTCGTGGAATACTCGAAGACTTTTATAAATTTTTCAACGGTGTTTTCTACCTTTCTCGAGTAGACTTTCATGCTACGTCTGGGTAAAAATGACTCCGTATTACCAGGGTTGGTAGAAGCGTCGTTTGGCGACGATGTTTACGGTTGACGCTTAACGGGGACGCGTGAAATATTTAGGCGAACGGTCCAGAAAGTTGGACCGGAATTATTCTCGATCTCGCTGCATTACTTCCGGCGAAGAGAATCCCGTGACGGGTCGGATAACACGTCCGTCGACGGGAGGACGCATATCAATCTACGATAGTCAGTGGAACGATGACGCGCGGACCCGTTTTACCTGCCACGGTACACGGTAGTGCACGTGCAGGTGCATGCGCGTGTCCTCGTATTCTGGCATGGCCACCCCGAGCATAGTGGAGATTCGATCGTACGTACAGATGAGAGATCACGTGTACGCGTGCTTCCATACGAACTCAATACTATGTGGTATGGCACCGTCCGGTAATGGAAGGTAGGAAATAGCTTTCCGGCAAATGAACACGCGCTATGCCTTGCATTCCACCCGGGACGACGGTTCTCGTGCGACTGAACAGATCGTTAACCACGTGACACGACCGACGCCATTGACCCATTCTCCTTTTACCTCCCCCACACCCCCTTTCCCCGGTGCTTGTAGCCAATCGGAGTTTTCTCTTATCGTCGTTCGAATTCGCGCGCCTCGAGGGTAACCGTTCCTCGATCCCACGATCGCGGATTTTCTGACTAATACAGTGGGAGATCGATGCCGGCGATCGTCTCGAAATTGGATTCTTGCGCTTCGAATTTAGACGCGACGCGTAGAACACGGTAGGCGAGAGGGACCAGTTCGGTTTGTACGGGAATTCGCCACGGTCGTTGGCTGGATCAGTATTTGGTCGTCGGATCCATTTAAATTGCTCGGTCAGCCGAACCGCGTGATCGTCCGCGATTAATTTTCAACGTTTCACGAACAACGGGGTCGGGTTACGTGCACGGTTTTTCTTCCGGGTTTTTTTTTTCCACCCCCGGTCCGGGTGTCGCTCATCCTTCGTCGGTATAATCCTCGAGCAGATTTCTCGATCATCGGGATACGTTGGACGCGCGGCGCCGGCATTACGAACGAAATAAACCATGTGCGGAGTGCCGGTGCGAGCCATGTCTGATGAAGCACGTATCGTTACCACTGACGGCTCGAGGTTGACGTTGATAGATACACCCCTGTATCGTTAGGTACGGTAAACTGTACAGTTATAGGCCACTTTATAACAATAATGACCGGCCATTTTCTCCCGGGGGATACTCCATTGCGCGAGGAACATCCACCGTTCCGTCGGTGGATTATGTTAAAATATGGAAACGATTTACGCGACGAATCCTTTTTTTTTATTCCGTTTCGGAGGAGGCTGCGCTGGTCGCGTTAACGATATTTACATATGCATGCGAACTTCTGCACGTATTTACGACCGACTGCCTCCGTTTATCCTCCGCGAAACGCGATATTTTATTGGGGTGTTTACGCGGTTCGGAAGAACAGGGAACCCACCGGCACCACGCGTGAACTATGGCACGCTTAAATAACTTTGAAGCTATTTACAGCCCCTGCCACGGTTATGACCGGTGCATAACGCCACGGGTGAAACGTAACGGATACAGTGACCAGGTGTTCGGAATTTCCTCGGAATTGTTATCAACGTTTCAGACGTTTTCTGCCGTTAGCCTTTCGATATAACGCGCACACGCGTGTACTTAATGGCAGGCGTTCGAATTTTAGCCTGCCCGTTAGCCTGCAGCGTTATTACAGGATTATGCCGATCGCGGCCGCCGTTCCGTATCTCCGAATTGATTCTTCGTCGTGGGCGAATTCGCCGGGGGAATTGCTATTGAAATCGTAGAACCGATTCTAGCGAGAATACGCCAAAGGTTTATTACCGGGACGAAATTTAACGTTATTTCGAGACCCTTTGACCCGTGGAATAATTTCATTCCGAGCACTCGGCGCATAGAGCGTGGAAAAAAATTTCTGCACTGCATTAATATTATTTCGTACAACCTAGTGCATCGATCTGAAATATCGCGGGTTCGTTTCCCGGAATAAATCTTCTTTTATTTGCTAAATGGGGTTTGCCAATTAAATCTGTCGTTTGCTTCTTCGTCGGTTGTTAAAAAGGCAAAAAATTCTTGTGAGTTTTTAAAATTTAAAACACTGACAAAAGCTCGACCGCGCGCTGCTCTATCGAGTCGAGGATACTCGTTGAAATCGTTACGTTTTCGTGGTTCTGGGCAGATTTCTGGGATTCGGACGACACGGGATTATGTGACGGACTAATGCCAAATTCTCACATAGGCGCGCACACACCGCAAACGAGGATAATGGCGGACGCATCGAGTGGCCGATCAGACACGCAGTCGTAAATAAACGGATAACGATAGCTCGTATCTGTATCCAGCGTGCAGACGTTTCTGGCTTACGTTATGCAGGTAAACGCTGCCAGGACAGATTGGCTGGCATGTAATTTCGTAGTAAGGTTCCCTATATGCCGTTCGCGCAGCTGCGTGGCACGGTTGTACGTTAGGGAAATCCATCGAATCAAATTAACTTGGAATCAAACGATTCCCGGGCGCGAGACCGCGATTATATCGCACGTTAGACGCGGCAACCGTATCGTGTCTTTGATACAGTCGCGTGTTCGAGAACGCGAGTCGAAGTTGCTCGACGATGGATAGAATTCTATCGAACGGGTCGCGGTGACACGCAGCTACGCAAACGCGTCGGCAAATTGCATACCATATTCATGGATTAATGGGTGGAAACAAGAACGGTTCGGTAACCGTGATACGACTTTCCGTATTCGCGTTTCGGAAGACAGCGACGATGATTAATAGTCCCGCGCGTAATTAACGGCCCCCGCGTGCAGCGATAAGATTTCACTGCCGGTAACCAGTTTTATTTTTCCCCACTTCGACGTTTCTGGGGAACCGGGTCAAGTGTTTTGCCGCGATTTATATCGCGTTCTTGCCTCCAAGATACAGTTTAATACCGACGACTCGATCGTAAAACAGAATCCTGCAATTTGTAACAACGATCTATCGCGAGGAATATCCCGGGCCCTTCCGATGCAATTAACATCGCGAGAATGCATTCTCCGCGTGGAACAATAACGCGAAACGTGTTCGCGTTTCTACGAGAAATCGATGCTTCTTGGCAGCTATACGAAAGGGATCGCTTCGTTCGAATATTATTTTTGTAGCGTTTCGTCCTAATCGAAATCTCGTAACGGTGGTCTCGAATTCGTCGGGGCATTTAAATCGATCGAACGCGAAATTTTTGTCGACCTTGCCGATATCGCGAAGCACACGTAAAAGCGCTTTCCGGGATTCTTGCAAATGCCTCGGCGTACGGAGTCTCGATACGTTTCGATCGTTGAAAATAGCATTGTCAACATACTCACAGTGCACTTTCAGCTTCCATCGTTCTTCGATACCGGCCTCTTGCAGCTTTGGATTCGTCGCCCGACACACGAGAAACATTCCCTCGTCTTCGGCCGACGGTGTCCATTGCAGTATGCTCACGCTCGTCCCGTCCTCCTGAAACTGATCGAATCCAGAGAGAACATCAAACACACTCGAATAGAACACAGCTAGACATCGATACCTATACATCGAAGCCGTACTTGAGCGTACACGGGGGCAAATACTTTCCATATACACTGCCGCTCGAAAGTTTCGAGCACCCTTCGATCTTTATAGAAGTCAAGTTTTTTTTCGCGTGCTCGTATTTATTTTAGCAAAAAATTTTCCCGTCGATATCAAAGAACCATTACGAGATCGAAATAATATATAACGAATGTTCTTTAGGAGAGCACCGTTGCACCGAATTCGTAATAATGTTTGGTGCGTCAAATCCCAAAGTGTAAATCGCAAGTCTGTGATTGTTAGCCGCGTGTCGCGTACAGACATAAAGTATCGACGCAAGCAATATAGGGGGCGAATGCTCGTACAACTACCTCGGAGTTAAATCGCTGCGAAATTAGTAGAACATTGGAATGTCCAATAACGATATCGCCAATTCTATCGGAAATTCTAAAATTGTACTAAATTTCAGAATTAAATCTCCATGAGAATCGACGTCACTCGAGAAAAGTCGCGTCATGCTAATTCCTCCACCTTTTGTATTTTTTGTTGTAGGAGCTCTCTGCCCGCTCGACTTCGCATTTCCCTTTCCATTGTTAATCGTTGCATCGTTTCCCGCGGTACCCGAACGTCATCCGTTTATTACATATTCATTGTTCCGTCGAACGAGGAACGAAGGAATCGACTTGAATATTCCAACCAAAGTCAAGAACGAAACTATCGCGACGCGTTGCGGTTTTGTGTTTTAAAAGCCGCCGCCGACCATCGTTGGATTTTACCATTCGATACAAATTAGTCGAAAGGTTCGACGTGTTATGTCGAACATCGTAAACCTCCGGAATTTCGAACGCAAATATCGCATCGACGGGAAAGTAGAGGTTGCTTCGACCAAAACGACCATCGGGTACATCGAACAAAAACGAACGCCACGAGGTGTACGATGCGAGGAATTCCGAATCTCCTCGAAAACGAGCCGAAACGTTTCTGTGGCGAATTTATGGCGGTTCCGGTGAAATTTCGCGATCGTTATTCACGTAGATTCGGGTATGAAAAATACGCGCGACTGTACCGTATACTTCGCCCCCTTTCTCGCCCGAACAAAAATCGGGATCGCCTCTCTCGGGCGACTACGACTCCTCGAAATGAAAATCAAATCCTCGTGAAAAAGAAAAAAGAACTTTATCCGCGTTTCATCCAAGGAAAACGTACTTTCCTTTCGGTTAATAGTCTGCAAAAATTATTAACCACGCTCAGATAAACTGAAGTTAAATAATGGTCTACCCGGGTCGTTGGTTTACCATGCTTGGCGCATTATGGGTTGAAAGCATCTTTTATGCGAAACGCGAGCATAAACCTGTAATAATATAATAGCTGATCGAAGTTGCGTTAACGTTGGCTCTCTGTTTGTTGTAAGTGGGGAAGGATCTGCAAAGAGATAGTTAAAAATTCAGAATCCCGTAATAATGAACGAGCTCGCGCACCGGCGGAGTTCATTAACTTGAAAAGCTTATAATCTCGTCAAAACTTGGTTAAATGCAATTGAAACGGATTAGCGGTGGATGCTTCTTGAAACGCATAGCTCGTAGCGTGCTCCGCTCCCGGGGTTATTTTTGCAGTCGGTTTTTTCGTTCCGTTGGCGATCGATCGATCGCCGTTTGCCGATTATTCCGTCCTTTTCGATCCCGGGTCATCGTGAACGCGCAACAGCGTCTTTCTTTTCGTCGCGTTAACGACTTCCTGCCATTGGTGGAGTCTCGATGGATTTTACCGAAACGACCGACGTAGTAGAAACGAATCCTGGCTAGGTAGGATCAAGGATTACTTTAGATAGGTGGTTTGCTTGGCGAAGCAAAGGACCAGCGCCGGTTTTAAACCGAGGAATTTATGTAGCGCTCGGTCCCTTTGTGCCACGATATCGCTGCGGTTTAGAAAGACTGGGATTAACTTCTCTTTTACTTGGGTCGATGGCAAAGGACGCAGACCGGTCAAGGAATTCTTTCAACGATATATCGGGCACACTGTCGCCTACGTACACACACCCCTCGACGCATAAATTTCGCGTCGTTTGTGTTTCTCGTGCCACCTGGTGGTTTCACCCGTATCGGAAACAAGCTACCGCGTTTTTCCGGACTCCCGGATGCCCCGGTAAATTGTTCTCCACCGACGCTGTTTCCATACGGGCTGTCGGTTTTTCCTTTATCCTCTAATTCCAGACGCTTCCATCGCCTCTCCGTTTTCGACGATAAACGGTGGAGATCGAGGCGCGGAATATTTCTCAAAAATGATTTATCGTCGGCGAAAATATGCGGAAGAGGCCGCAGATTCCTCGGCGGATAGATTAAAAAATTACGTAACGAGATCGCGACGTTCGCATACCCGGGCAGGAAAAATAAATTCGCAAGAGCGAGGAGGGGCCTGGTCGTAATTCTTGGCGGAAACGTTCAGGAGCAGGCCAGCACGCGAGGAATCTGAAATCGGGCTGACCGAAGCTCGACGCTATAAAACTCCGTCGGCTAATAACTAGTCGCGATAAAATCCCCGGGTACTAATAATACGCGTAACTGCGACAAATTCGAGCTTGAAACGCAGATTCGCGGGTAAAAGCCAGCTGCGCCCTCCGGGTATTACTCCGAAAATCGTAGTCTCCGGAGATAAATCTGCTCCCGGTGCGTTCTTGCCTTCCGGGAATTTCCGAATAACGACTCCGCGTCGCGAAACCCGAAACCCCACGGATAGATTCGTCGAGTCCTCCGTTTTTTTTTGCTACCGTGTTCCATGAAAATTAGCCGGCTCCGGATCCAGCGACGGGGGTGGAAATTTTCCAAAAGGAAGCTCGCGAAATATTCTCGACGAGAAATTAAAGGGTCGGCACGAGCGAGATTATGCGCGACCCACTCGCTCGTCTCTCACGCTGTCATGCTTCTGCTCCACCATAAAAACGATACGAGCTTGCAGAGACCGTCGTTCTACGGCATCCGTGTTTCTTCTTACGAGGGAAACGCGAGAGAACACTGGGTAAAAGTTATAGTACACTGGGCGGTGCAAAACCATCGATTCTTTCGTTGTCCCCGTTCCTTTTTTACGTTGATGATCTCTGTAGACTCGAAGCACTCATTTTTGTTCGAAATCTGGCTTTGTTGTAAATTTGGTATGATTGCTTGTTCTCGATCAATTTGCTTGTTCGTTTTTAGAGGTTTACCGTTCCACCGTCTGGTTGATGGTTGGTGTTAAGTGACAAGACCCGGACCAGGCGTTCCATTGACAAACGATAACGGCAGTTTGCAGCCAGACTGTTCGCGAATTGCATCGCGCACCGTCGTAGCGCGGTCTCTCCGGCTATTATAGTCGCTGCTTCGCTATTACTCTCGTTGTCACCGTTTCCAACGATAAGTACGATGCAAAACGATCTTTCCCGTCTCGACTAATGGATTCTCCGAATTAGACGGCGCCACCTCGGCCACCGTGGTCGTCGTTCGTACGGTTTCCAACGACGTCGCCGTAGACTGGCACAAAACGATCCTGTGATTAAATACGACACCCAATTTCGTCGAAGATCCGGTAGTTTGCTTTCCCCAAACACGAGGAAATTTATTATTTTTTTTTTTTTAAATACACAACATGGACTATGACACTGCTCGAGGAACGCCTGGTACTTTTTAGGCGTTTCCGATCGATCGTACTTGAAAACATGACACGTACGTTCCTAGATTATTCACGCATAGATTCAACTCCTGAAATACGAGCATAGATTTCCGAGTCAGTCTGCATATTTCAAGCAGCGTCGTTCGTTACGGATAATTTATGGTTCGGGTTCGAAGGTTTCTCGCGGGCCGTTTGTCAGCGTCGCGAATCGCTTCCGATTCGCGGATTCTTTTGATTTGGTCGATGGCGGAGAGAAAACGCGAGAGCTTTTTAATCCCGTAACGAGACGGGGAACCGTTCTCGCGTATAGTTGTTCGAAATGCCTGCTCGTTAATTCCATGTTATTTAACTCTTTGATCCGCGGGGGCTGTGTTTTCAAAGCACTCTTTCCGTTCGCGCCGCGACCGTTCGACCGAAATGCGGCATCAGCCTACACAAAGGGTATCGTTGTGTTTCCGTCGACGCAGCATCCACGGTTTCGCCCCAGTCTGCCAAAAACGCGCGCGTAAGTCGTCGACATTTATCCCCGTCGTCCCGAAAAGCATTAAAGCGTTGCGTCGACGTTCCCCTTGTCCTCTTTTAACGATCCTGCCCCCGTTTCTCGAGGCGTTTCAACAGCCATCCGCTTTGTCGCGAATCGGCAACCTAATTGCAGATTGCGTTAACGACGCGTTAAACGATCGTTGCCCGTGAAACCCGAAACATTCGTTTCTGGATCGCGATTACCCGAACATCATTACACGCCGCGGATCAGTCGACGGTTACCGATGGTCCCGTGTTATCAATCTAGTTGTTCCCAGGTGGTTTCATACCAATTACATGGACGCACGCGATAAATTATTATCAAGCTGTCTGTCATATCCATGAAGCTATTAATCCAATCGCAACGGCAACATCGACGCGACGATAAATCATTGGGGAACTCTTGCGTTTTCCGTGTATCGGATATCGTTGCCGGCTTCCCGACTCGATATTAATTTTTTCGTTCGTTTAAATAAATCACGAAACGCGCCACGGGTTTCTCCGTTTCTTTGTTTCGCGTTGCCTTTTTCCCCGTATCCTTAGTTGTCAGGCTATTCTTCTCCTCGTTTCTTCTCTTTTCGTTTCGAAAGTCTTTGCACGAACGAGCCTCGACATTAATATCTCTCTGCAAGAAATCCTTTTCACGATAAGATAATCGAGAGAAAACACGGTTTCCACGATCGATTTAATTTTATACGCTTTGTTTATGCAAGACTGCAAATCGAGTGTCTTTGGAGAAGGTTTTCCGATAAAAAAATAGGTATGCGCGATCGAGAAAGGAAAGGAAGTTTCGGACGTTGACGCAGGATCGATCGATCGATCGGAAAATCCGAATTTTTATCGACCCATGAGCTTTTATGGCACGATAGCTCCATTTGTCATTGATTTGTCGACGGTCCAGTGGGACTGCTTCGTAACCGTCTACGAACTATAAACCTCTTTCCTAGAGGTAGCCGATCAAGGTTGGTGCTTCTATAGCGAGGAACATATTCGCCAATATCAGGCTTCATTTTTAAAGGATCTTCGCGTCGTACAACGAATTTTTTCCCTCGACGATCCCTCTGCTCTTTCTCTTTTCCCCGAAGATTTTATGGATTCTATCTTTAATATTCCGACAGTCTCGTGCACGGCTTTTGAGACCGTCTTCGTTAAAAGGTTACTCAAAGAATGGATCGCGAAAATAGCCGTCTCTGTGTCTTTATAGCTCTCCTTTTTTCTCCGTTAAATTATTTTCCATTTCCGAGCGTCGACGGTCGATCTGAAAAACGATCGGGCGTGTTTCGTAAAATTCGAAATCTCGTTTTCATCAATCATCGATCCGGGAATACCGGCGACTGATTAAAAATATAATGTATTCCGCTCGGTATCTGATTGGAACCTGGATAAATCAGCAACGCACGATCAACCGTGAGAGAAACATAGTCTAGCGCGTGAAATTGCAAACGATACCGAGGCTACATAATTATAGAATCGTCCCCTTTCGAACCGACGGGAAATTTTGATTACGATCATTGTACGCGTTCAAATAAGAAAATAAAACCATTGGAAACATTTCGACCGAGCATCGTCGAGCGGCGATATTTATTTTTTTCCAACGCGGCGAAGCGAACGTTTATTTTTCGCACGATAAACAATAAACTATTTTTCGTCGTTTTTTGGCCGCCTTCTCCGCTTTCGAACGCGTACTCATCAATCGTCGCGCGACGGAAGCGATTTAAAATTTTGTAATTTTGCCGAAAAATTTGTCCACCTTCTATTATAGTTTATAGAACTTTAAGCGTTAATAACTTTTTAATGAAATTGATATTCTTGGCCTCTAGAATCTCCCATTAAAATTTTTCCCAGAACACCCTGTATAATTTCCGCGAACGTTCCACTTTTATCTCGCGTACCAAATAAATCGAACCACGGAACGTTTGCAGCAATATAGAATTTTCAAACGATCCTATACTTTTAAGTTTCATAAATGAATCGAGACGCGTGAGAAAACAGGTCCCAAGCGCGAAATACTTTTGGCGAGAATTTGAAAACGAATTTCCAAGAGTAATTCGTAAGAAACGGGACGCGTCGAGAGTTACGAGTGGCCGTGTCGTTGGCATACCACCGTTGCCGCATTGTGGTACGCATATTTTTTCACCCCTTCCTCTACACCCCTTTGTGCCGCCCTTCTCGTATTTACCCAACGCGTACGCGCGACCCGTGATTTCTAGAGCGCGCCAACGAGCCACCTACACGTTCCACCCCCGAGACCCACCGGAAACGCGCGATTCTTCAGGATTTCGTCTCTCTTTAAAAAAAAAAAAACGCTCTTGCGACGAGGATTACGTCGAGCATCCGGAGTTTACAGTTTACATCGGACTTTCCGACCGGATTCAGCTTGCAATCGGAAAAGTTGCGACACGTCGTGCAACTTACTCGGATATTTAATTTATTTTCAACAAAAGAGCCCCTCGAAAGTAATTATTATCTCTCGTAATTATCAAACGTTTTGAAACTTCCTTCGTTCCGTAGGCGATTATATTTTAACGTTAACGTTGAATAATCTTGGAAGCTCTGAACATGAATTGTGTCACTGGCCACTGAGCTCGTCTTTCATAGATTGAAAGGGCTAATTGGAAATGGATAATTCCCACAAACTATTTTGCTCGTTACTTGGTTGCTTTCTTTCCATTTTGTTTGTTCTTTGTATCATCTCCCTTGCCTCGACAGCAATTTTTGTTCGTATCAAAGGGTTCGGTACCGTATAAACGAATCGAATTAAATTGTCGAGCGAATTTGTGGGTGGGAGGGGGGGAAGTAGAGTGCGGCGCTGCTTAACAGTTTCAATCTCATCGGCAATCTATCCCGGATACGCGGCGCAACGACGTCGTTACAGTTTTCGCCCGAAATCCACTTAGTCGCCCCAATATCGTAGCCGCTCATCCGTGGGGGAGTCGGGGCTAATTTTATCGGAACAACGGCTCGCGAGTCGCTTAATCTTGCCGGAAGTGGCTGGCGCGGATCGACCGAGCTTTCCCTCGCCGTACTCGTTACGCGTTTGATCCATCGGGCTCAAGTTCCAGGGCGACCCCGTCCTTGCGCTCCTGTTTCCGTGTTTGGAAGGGACGAGAAGGATCCGTAAGGTTTACTGGATCAGAACTTGAGCCCGGAGGAAAGAAATTTCAGATTCGAGCAACAAGACGGTAGCCGCGGGATAGGAGGGGAGAAGGAAATGCAAAGGAAGGGAGTAAACGCGTGGAAGAGGCAACCGGGGGATGCTCGAGGAGACAAATTTATTTCTAGGAACACTCTCGCGCGACCTGTCATTGAAACTTTATTCCCCTTATCGAGCATCGTTATCGACAAGTCGTTATTCTTATTCCTCTGAAGTCTGAGACGGTTTCTCGAACGGGACGATGGGGTGAGCATCAATCGTCGGTGAAAAAACGCTCCGTCTCGTTTAGAGGACATCAAATATCGCGACGTTGTCACGCCTCTCGTCGTTTTTCGATTTCTCTTCCTGTTCTGTCGCGCGCGACGTTCCCTTTCTTCCGATGCTATCGCGTCTCTTCAACGAGGTTTATTAAAAGCCGATAAAACTTGTTTGCGGTATCGAGCAACCCTCAAACCGTAGAATTCTAATTTTTTCCGCAAACGTTAAATCTGCTGACAAAAAAATTGACGAGGAAGTGATCGGACTCGTCGGTCGAGTTTTCATTTTTCCACGAGTCGCGTTCGTAGCTCTGTAATCGACGAGTAATGGATGTAATTTAATTAAGGGGAAGCTCGAATCGATTCGATCGTGATTCGTACGAAGATTGCAATCTGCTCTTACTCACGTTTCTGATCGTCCTCTTGAGCTGCTTCGAAGCTTTCCACCAGGTTAAAACGGCCGACGGCTTTGATCCCGTGCTCTGACACCTAGTCTCGTACTTCTTCCCTGCCGATAGGATCTTGTCCTTCCCCATAATTTCGACTTTCAGCGGCTTCACTGGAAGCAGATATCGACAGACGCATCGATCAAAGGATTGCTTTACGACGATGGACTAAAGCGACCGAGGAAAAAGCCGTTTCTAGTCGGCTAAATCGCGAAATTCGTTTCACGTCGCCCTTTTCCTCGGCGCTCGTCCTGTAAAAATCCTCGAGAGAAACGCAAAGACGGACATTAGCTTGGAAATATACGAGCCTGCATCGTGCCCGTAAAAATTTATTAAACCCTCGAGATCGGTCGTTCGCGATAAGGATTATCGAGCATGATAATTGGAGAGCCTTCAGATTCCCCAACCGTCCGAAGGAAATCGTTTTGCTATCGTCGAGCAATAAGGAATTGAAACAATTACGATCAACTTATACCGATAGCGAGACACGCAAAGGTCCGCCGCGAGAAAAGAACGATAAGTCGTTCGCGAGACTTCGTTTCATCGAGAAATAAATGCCGGCTCAAACGGCAGACCTCCGTCGAGACTTTGCAATACTTTGAACACAATAAATCGCCGTTTAACTTGTCGTTTCTCGAACGTTTCGATTAATTGTTCCGCGGGATAAAAATAATTATGAACCGTCGGTGCGGGTGATCGTTCCTTATTGTTTCATCGAGGATTTCCAATTCCCCGAGAGGCCCGTTTCGAAGCGTTCGCTGTAGCAAGAATCTGCGGGTTAGCGCCAAAGGGGAACAGGTCCGTAAATAAATCAAACACGCGAAAGCCCGCTGAAGTTGGATCGCGCGTATATTTGCTCGGCGTCGATCGCCTCGTTGAGCTTCAAATATAGTTTACAATTAGTATATTTAACGAATTCACGCTCGCGGTGGACGGGAGGGGGGTGTGCTCTCGAGCTTCCGCCCAACGGTATTCGTCGGAGTCGCGAGAAACTCGCGAGTTTGAAAAAACGTCATTATGGGAACTGTTAATGTCGCAATTAGCGGCTTCGCGCGAGCACAAAGGAAGACCGACGCTCTCCGCATCGGAGAATTCCATCAAGTCACGTTGACGGTAGCCTTTCACTGGGAGTGACTCGTTATTAATTGGATGACGAGATTGCGGGCACGCGTCTGACCAACGGGAAAATAACCGAGTATTAATTAAACGTTCCGGCCGTTTCGTACGCTCGGAAACCGTCCGCTGACGCAAAGCGGCGACGGCGTAACCATTCCTCGTTACCGGTCTGTAATCATCTGCCATTGTTCGCGGCTGTTAAAGCGTCCGTTACTTCGTGTCTACGCGTTTCCGGTACCCGCAACTCTGCGGCAAGAGAGAGAGAGAGAGAGAGAGATAGCGTGAGAGAAAGAGAGAGGGAGACAACGGGGTTGAATCTTTTAAGCGGGTCGATTAACGATCGCGAGACCTCGCATCCGTGGATATTCTTCGTTCGCCGACGCCGCCGCCGCCGCCGCTCGGCAGAAAAGTTTCTCGTCGGGCTCGTTACGAGGCCACGGTTCGTTCCGCCTTTAGAAAGATTCTGATCGTTCCGCGACTTCTTCGACTTTAGCCCGGCGGAGATAAATACAGCGGAGGGGCCGCCGACGGAGCCCTCGTAGCCGCGCGGCGAAAGATTCCCAACTTTCCACTGATCCGTGCAAGACCCGGGGGGAAACTTTGCTCAGACGTAAATTTGCCGTGCCAGGTGACTTTTACGGGGTTGGACCACTTGAATAACCGTAGTTATTTCTTTCAGCGTGACGAGCGTCGCTACATTCTGAAAGGCTCGCGAGATGCACCGTTTTCCATTTAGTTTTTCTATTTCTCTTTCGGTACTCGCGGTTCCCGGTCCTCGTCGTGAGAGTTTTCCGTTCGGGTTCGTCCGGTTTAAAAGTCCTAACTGACCCTGAAATTCAGAGAACTCTTTTTTATTTTACTCTTTCTGGCTTTTCCATTTTGTTGAACTTTATTTAACGATGATAATCGTGGCGACATGTTGAGACAGAAGGATGTATCAAGTGTGGCACGTCACGTCTTGAAAACGCGTCGATCGAAATTCCATAAAGTCGAGGCAAAGTTCTTAACGAAACCTTTAATTTAACGGAGAATTTACACAAATCGCGTTCGAGTAATATTTTGGGTATCCTCGGTGGTGTTCGTAAACGTTAAGATGAAAGGCGGGAATAGGCTGTTGTTAAATTCAATTGAAATCGATTTTGTAAATTATTTAAATTCGATACGCGTAGTTCGTCGATGCGAAAACCCATCGGTGTAATTAAACTTATGACTTCGTACAGCGAGTAGATCGAGTTTGCGCAAACACGGTTATCTCGTTACTCTGCGAAACGCGAGATTTGTTTATGCGATTTGCCGCGCGCCGGGCAATTCCGGGCACGAAATTTTCCTTCAGCGATGCGGTAAACAAAATACGGGGCAAAGAGAACATAGGAGGGGCAAACTATGCGTTATGCAGCGGGCCGTTGCGTCGTCCTAGCTGGGTGAAAAGTGTGTCAGAGCCAGGCTACGGCCGCGGAGAACTTTTTTGTTCCCCCTCTGTCCACAATTCTGATGCACTTACTGATCCTGACAGTTTCGCGTGTTTCGGGACAGCGGTCCCGTTCGTTGTCCAAACAAAAAGTTTCCTCGTTTCGCGCATCTCGCCGGAAATGAAACAAAGACTCTCGCCGATTACTCGCACCTTTTTCCTCGTTTTTTCCGGCCCCCGCGGAACGAATCCTGAAGAGGCTGCAAAAACGTTGCGCTTCTCCCGTCCGAGAGGCGAATTTTGTTTAAGGGTTTACGCCACCTTTGCGACCAAAAAGGTACACGATTTTTTTTTGTCAGAGATAGTTTGAACGCGTCATAATTATATAGAAAAAAATTCATCGAGGAAATTGTCACAGGGGTACGAATATAATGGCTTTAAACAATATGTTTACGTTTAATGCTCGTGTGGAAACTTTTTATTTTAAATTTCTACAGTACGCTTTGTTTCGTCGTCGACACGATGGCTTAATTACTGCACCGAATGCGCTGGGAAACGTGTGTTTTTAGACATTTTTTTTTTAATCAAGAGAATGCACATTCAAGAATATTTTTCAATACTTGAAAGTGTCATTGGTGATGTAGGGTGGGTTGCGCGTGACAGGAGCGACAGCGTGTTTCGGTGAACAACCTTGGACGGTGTACACGATTTCCCGATAACGGCTTATCCGAATGAACAAAATTAAATAGTCCCGCAAAACTGCATTAATGCCGCTATCGCGCGATGGATGGTTTTTTAACAAACATTGAGAAACGTTCATTTTATACCGGTTCGAACAAAAGAATTGATTCGTGCGTGAAACTCACTCGGTTAAATTCAACTTTGATAAAAAACTATTTAACCTTTTTTTTTTTTCGAAAAACGTCAGAGACACGATAGACGTTGGTTATTCTCGTGTCTATTTTAAATTTGAAATGCATTCGTTCCGCAGTTTATTTCATATCATGTACACCGTTTTGAAAAAATATGGTTTCGTGGAAAATCGAGTTGAAATTTCAATTGTACCTTTTATTGCGTATAAACTTCAAACGTTTCCGTTCCGAAAAGTCGGCTACGAAGTTTCATCGATAATAATTTAGTTGAACTACAAATTGTTCAAAGTGTTTTCCGGTTTGTTTCGAACAAAATGTTGTTCGACGGATTAAAGAAGCATTAGCTAATGATAATGTGCTCGGAGCAGCGATCCTAACTGCTGTAACTAAGATAAAAATTGTGTGGGATAACAATTACTATTTCGATTAAAATGTTTTTCCTGCATAGAGATACTTTGGAAATTTGTTGATAAATCTTGGCGTGCAATATTTCGATATTTTCGAGGCGAGTGATTTGGAAAACGTCCGCTATAAGCGTCAGCGATTAGAAAAGTTTCTTTCACCGCGTATCGCTACATCTTTCCGTTAGCGTCGACCGGGAAAAAAGTTTTCGAAAAGCAACGAGAGAAAAATTGAGATCGATAAGGGTCGGCTGGAACGGAATGGAAAAAGTGGAACGACGCAGCGCGGCAGCACGCCGCAAGAAAAAAACGTCCGCGTAATTAGAAGTCGTGGGGAACGCGAGGGAAAACAAAAACAGCCGGAAAATTACAGCCGGCGGAACTTGGGGGCAAAGATGAGATTTAATTTGTAAATCAAAATTCATGTCGTTGGCTAACGGGGCCCGCGAGGTTGACTCTGGTTTTTAACGGTCTCGTTTCAGCCTCCAGATAATCTTTACAGTTTTCTTGCCACCTCTTCCCTCGACATTACGCCGCTGTGTTTCCTGTAATTCGCGTTTTAAATTCATCGGAGGGCTTTTGTGCCGGCTAGCGACGCCAGCAACAAAAAGAAACGTCTGAAATCGGGTCGAGAAGCAAAAGTGGAGAATTCTGTTCGCGCGTCGGTTTCCTCGAACGTCTTGCGACGTATTCACGCGTTTAATAAGTATCGTGGTTCGTGCGTTCAGCTCTCGGGGAACAATGCGTCCGGGGGGAAAAAGGCAAGAAAAGTCGTGTAAAAAAACGAGAAAAGAAGTAGCGAAATGGGGACGGAATAGAGGGAAAAAGTAATCGGGGAGAAGTTTAAATGGCTCGTTTGTAGATTAAGTCGGTTAGTCCTGGAACGAGCGAACATTACGGAACCGTCCGAATGCGCCGATCCTGCGAATTGTCGACTTAAGTGAAATTTCGCCGAGACCAGGCACGATTCTAAGTGATATTATTGCCATAATTTGGCAAAGCCGCAGCTCGTATCGTTATGCTCTCATCAAGGATGACGCCGCTAACAGTTTCTCGCTCGCTATTTAAAGGAATCGACGATTTCAACTCTCTGCAAGCCAAATTATATTTGCCTTGTAAAACAAATCGTATCGATCGCGAAATAGATTTCTCTATTAGTATATTTACTGATAACCAGACTAATTCACGTGGCGATAGCTGCTTCTTCTATATTATAAAAGAGAGAAAGGTAATTTGATCCCCTGAGGGTTTCGTTATCAGGTTACGACGAGCAAGTTCACTCGTCACGAGAGTGGTTTAAATCCTTCTGTACTTACTTGTCTCAGGAAGGGTACTTTCAAGAGTCGTTACGCCATTTGCGTCTCCGCTGTCCCACGAATGTCTGTAGTTTCAGTTTGGAAAATCGGACGTTTCGTGTTCCTTGAAAATCCTGTCGCGGTGCAAACTTTGTCGTCCGAGGGAATCTTTATTTTTCGCACACACGATTACGAATATGAATCGCTCTTTGTTCCTTTCGTTTTACATAAAGAAATTCGAGGCAAAAGGCACGGAAGAAGTTACGTTCGTATTGGAGTAAATTTGGTCCGACGTCTGATCAATGGTTGGTACTTACTACTGGCCATACGACCAATGTTCGACTCTTACTACTTACTCCTTAGTTTTTCCAAGTTTGCTCGAACTTTAATGGTACGATCTTCGAGTCCCAGACATAGGGGGGTAATTAAAGAATACCAGGAACACCAAATCAGTGTATCAGGTGTATTCTGTGCAATTCGAAATGTTAAGATTTCTAGCCATGAAAGACTAACGAGCTTCGCAAACTCTTTTCGGAAGCGGGCTCATTAATTTTCTTACTAATTAGCGTAAAATCGATTACGTCGTCGGGTTGGCCGGTGAATTTTTGTCAAATGAGATTTCTTTGTGGGCGGAATGTAAAGATTCCCCTACCCCCGGGCTTGTTTTATCGAGCCACGTTCTCTAGTTCTGTGCGCTAATGAAAATGAACCACGCCGCTAGTATGCTTCAGCAAAATGTTCTCGTAATTTACGGTCGTTCCTTCCTATTCGCGGTAACCTTTTCATGTCGTGAAACAGTCTTGTTAAATCGGCAAATTATCAGTCGCGGCGGATGTCGGGGTTGAAAAGATGTTCCACGGAACCGAATCTACGGGAAAGTATCCGTTCCTCGGATCCAGCTGCGACTCTCGAATCCTGCGCCGCGGTTTCCGATACGCAAATATGCAAATATATTCGATGCAAATCGCAAAAAGTCACTTCAGCCGGGGCTACACTTTCGGTCCGAGTTGCGTGTGCATCGGCATTCGTTAGAATTTCAAGCGTATCGACCAAGAATTCGCCAATTATTCGGCGTACACTTCGTCTGTCGTGCTTCCAATTAGTCCCAGATATTAATAGAAACAGTGAGGCTTTATGTTTCTTTTGGTCGTTCTTCGCGAGGAAGAGTAACAAAATCGAATCGAAATCAACTAATTTTCCTTCATTTTTGCCTTTCTCTCTGCCATGAATTTATAGGTAAGATCTCAAAACGAGTTATACCAGTTTCGAACGAAAAAAGCGTTCACCCATTTCCTGCAAATTAACTTTCAGATGGTAAAGCTTTTCGTTTTGAATATCGTTTAACAGTACTCGTTAAAATTCTTCCAGCTGGAGGAATTCATTTTTCCCGGTCGAGTATCGAGTTTCTCAAGTGTTTTATAACGCGAAGAAAACGCTCGAATCTTTTAACGGGAACGCGGAGTAACCCGTATTCGTTCGGAGTGCTTTTATATCGAGATAAAAGCTTCTTAAACAATCTGTACGCTCTGGGGCCACGCGTTGCGCTTCCTGTCGCTACTCGCCGCGGAGAAACGATCATGAAATATTTATACAAATATTTAAGGTAAATTTATACACGGGTTCCCCTCCACCGTGCAAATAAACGACTCCTCGATCGAGGATGCGATCGACTCGCGCGTCTGCCGTCCACTCTCTTCTTGAGCTCGTTAGACTTTCAAGTAGTTGAACGGGAGTGCTCCTCGATTATTTGCGGCGCGCCTCATCTAACCCGATTCCAATTAACGAAGGATAGAGGGACGAAGTTACCGATGAGTTTCGATGTTTCATCCAGACGGTAAGCAACGAGTGGCTGTTAGACATCGTCGAAGAAAATTACGAGGGAATTCTCGAGCGGTTGACCACTTAACGTTAAGTCGCGCCGTGCTCGTCGATCGTTCCGTGAAACCGAAGTTAAGAAAGACAAATCGGTCGTATACTATGGCCCAGTCGATGTTTCTCTCTGGCGCAGGTCTTAATTGCGACGATTTCACTGAACGGGGAACCACCGATCGAGATTTTTAGTCCAAGTGTCCGGGCATCCAGTTTATCCTCTGTCGAGTACAAAAATCTAGTAGACGCGGAGTCGTTTCGACGATGCATCGTTTCTTATTTACTCGAGAACGAAGTCGAACAGACAGTGTTATACGATCACAGTGATACTGTGGTTCGGAGTCTCATACTTTTATTTTCCTCGATTGACAAAGTGGAGTTGCGCGAAAGTAAGTTGATAAAAGTCTTCTGTCGGGGAAGAGTTCGCGAAGCTTTAGGCGAACCGTGTGAGTCCGCGCGTGCGAGGACAGGGTGTCAGAGTTGAGCAGAAGGTCGTCGGAAGAGGAACCTTTAGATCGTAACGGGCAAGTTTGGCGACGAAGTAGGGTCCCGAGAGTGCTGGTTAATGGAAAGTCGAGCGAGGACATGCATTATTGCACGCGTCGTCGTCGCCGATGTTAAATAAATCGAAACATCTAATAACGTTCTTTTTCAACGCGGCCACTTATAAAGGATAGCATGACGGGAGAGAAGGTCCTCGAGTAGGTAGAGCAAAGGCGAAGGGGGAGAATGGCGGGTGAGGAACGAAAGCGAAAGGTGATAAAAAAGTTTCTCTTTTACATCGAATCTCTCTTTTTGGAGAATATTTTCTGCATGCTTTAAAGGCGGTTTTCAGTTAGCGCGTATTTCCCAAGCGGCTCTTTTGCATTAGCGCCGACACCTTCGTCCAGAATTACTCGCTTCGGTTTCTTCCTGTATCCGTCGCTAACCAAGACTTGCCGCGGTGGGCAATTTAATTTAAACTTGTTTGTTCGCCTAGAAAGTTTCTCGCTAGCTGCGATGAATCTCGAGCGCACCGATGAGCCAGCGGACCGACTTTTATAAAATTATTAATATTAATTTTCCGCATCGACCGACGACTGCGATCGTTGCAGAGAGAGTTTTTAATCGAATCACGGATTATGGAAATTTAATATTCGTCTGGGAGCCGGATGAATCTCGCGACATGAGTTTTATCTCGAAAGACAGTGTGTCCCTCGCGCGGGAAGATTTCCTGAAAGTTTCGCGTAGCCTTCAAGTTTAGGAAAAGTACGCGGAATTATTTATTTAGTCGTTACGGTTACGCTTTTCGTGTGTGAGAAAAACTTGGACTTGAACGCAAGTAGAAATGTCGATCAATGGTCAGACGTACCCATTTATTAAGTTGTAGATGCAACGAACGCATAATAGATTGCAATTTTCGCATGGACACAGATGAGACAATGTCTTAGGGATATGACTTCGAGGTTATAACAGTGATTCGTGTATGCAGATGAGATCCAAGCAGGTGGATGATAAGTAGCATCAGATACGAAGGATGTCGGTTCTAGTTTGAGTTCCACAAGGAGTTGCTCGATGTTAGAATTTAGTTTTAGATAGAATCAACAACTCGCGATAACACTCGGCATTCGAACATTCACGCTCCTCCATTTACATGTCAAACTTATCCAAACGCAATACAAATGTATCTTGATGCGCGAAACTATGCACGCGGAAGAGATCGTTGCAGACGACAATAATTCCCGGACCCGTTGGCCGCAACCCACCGAATATTTCATCCTCTTTTTTTCGGTGATTGAACTACTGTTCTGGCTGATATTAATTCTCTCTGATTAATATTCTCCATTGACGCTCGGTGACGTTTCCACCGAGTAAACGGGAAACGTTCTGTTCCTCGATCGAACGTTTACAGGTCGCCGGCGTCGAAAAGAGATTAACCGTTGGTTCCGATTCTCTGCAATTATTCCAATGAAATATTTATTCGTAGTATTTTTTTTTCTTTTTTCTTTTTTTTTTTATTCACGACTATTTGTTTTTCTCTCGATTTGTTCAATTGTTTCGAGCCATCGATCGCGGCGTACGTACGCGTACGAATTCCATAAAATTTAATTGAACATCGTTGCTGGTGTACCGCGCCATATTGGCGGTCGCGGCACGCCACAATTTGGACAATTTCAGACAATTGTAGAAATAACGTTTATTAATGACATCGGTGTACTGATTGCCTTTCGATCACGATTCACAACGGTTCGCGGCCGTTCGCCGTCTGGTGTACCTTTGTTTTCGTTGCAATCGCTCGAAAAACATTTCAATTTCGTCTCTACGGATCTATCCATCGTCAGTTTTATTGCCATTGTCGATGTTCATTCATACCGCGACCGTTTCGGCGGAAAAAGTTGGTTCGGGAAAGTTGCACGCGAAACGGTTAAATATTCGGTCCGTTCTCGGTTAAAATCGGGGAAAACGCCCGCGCGTTCGGCGCTCGATACGCGTTCCCTCTTGTCTGAAGTGCTTTGGTCGCTTCCATTCGACGCGCGATCGCGTGTACGGAACGTGCAAAGAGAAAAGGAAGAACAAAATTCGTTCTGTTCGAACGCATACATACCGGGTGATCGTGAAACGAAATCTCTGTGGGCGGGACAGGCGTTCGAGTTTCGAATAAAGCTGTTCCCTGCTTCGCGGGTAATTAGCGTCGTTAATTATTGATAGTTCATTAGCATAACCGGGTCGACTTTCACAGTCGAACGGGGGGAAAAATTACCTGCTGTAATTTTAAATAGATCGAACAACGCTATTAAAATCTTCTGCTTTTTCGATTCCAAGTTAAAGTCAAGGAGCAGGATTATTTATTTCTCTACTACAGAGATTTCGGTTTGTCGTAAAAAATTGTAGATTCACTTACTGTAAAGTTCGATGATGACAACGGTGGTGAGCGGCGGTGCTAAATGAGTATTGCTCGCCTTGCAGAACAATTTGGCGTGGTAGTGGTTTCTCGTGAGACCCTTCAGCGTCACGTTGCTTATGGTTACAGAGTTGGTTTCACCCCCTGGCCCTTGGGTCTCCCGAACCTCCGACTGCGCATCAATTATCTGCGACTCCAGATACCACGTTACTCGAGGTCTGGGTTTACCTGAATCGAAACAGATAGGCTACCTTAGAACACCTGAGTAATGCAATTTATCTATTTACAAGCTTACTTGTTCGTTTTTTACATAAATTTTACTTTCAATCCCCTCGACAGCTACGAACGAGACGATAACAATCAAAAGTTTCATCCTCTCTATAAGTTGAACTATTTAAAAAATATTTTTAAATAGTACAACTCTTGGCGACGAAAATAAGAATAAAATAAATTGCTATATTTGTAATAAAATAGAGTCAAGTCGACGTTGCATCGCGAGATGCTTCGATCGTGGGTTCGTGTACGAGTCGAGAAAATCGTACAATCGAAGTTTTCTCGCTAATTGGAGGTTATCGAAATTCACGGTGGACTAAGAATCGTTTACGGTACGAGTGGAATTATAGGGCATCCTGCAATCTATTTGACGGAGTGCTCTCTGTCGCTTATCCGTAGCAAACAGGTCGATTGTCGGTCAGGCAATCCGAGCAGTTGAATCAATCTGAGTAGCCGGCGCATCGAGACGGCTGCCGTGTCTACGGATGTGTATCAGTGGCTGCAAGCTAGTCGTCAATCAAGTCGCTCGACGGGTCTTACTCGGCCGCAACAATAGCGATCGCAATGGAAACCGCTCGACGTCTGCTCGTCAATTTATTGTTCCCGATGTACCGTCTGCACGGACACCTAATTCCCTAGGTTAATTATTCGCGCAAACTTGTCGCTTAGGAACCGAGGAATGTCGCCGGTCGTAATTAGACGAAGATTCGTGGGACAATAATGAGATTCGCCGTCGGTATCTTTTAACAGGTACACGATAACGTCTCTACGAAGACTGTACGGCGAATTGCTTGTAATTGACAGGGGGATCGACGTTGCTATCGACGACAATGGAAATTCAAGCGCGACGAATTTTAGCTAACAGAGGACTCGCATTCGTCTCTACGGCGCGGTACACCGAACGTGATAATTACGCGCAGATAAGGCGATTGTTTCGAGTCTCTTGCGAAACGTACCTTAACGCGCAATTAATCGCCACGTAGCGTTTCAGACGTTCGAGAACGCAACGCGTTTGCACACCGGTGGTGAACGTTTCGGGATAGCAAATCTCGCGAAACAAAATAATTTTTTCGTCCAGAAGTTACCTCCTTTTCGATCTCGCGAACGAACGTCGGTACGCTACGTCGATGAAACTTTAAGTTTGGATATGAAAATTCATAAGACGCGTTATTATGGTGTACTTTTTTGTCTCGGGTGTGTAGACGTACGGGCAAATAAGTGCATTTCGGTGTGGATCGGGTTTCCCCGGTACGAGCCCAGAACTCGTTCATTCCGAAAGCGAATTATGCGCCGCGAGAGCTGGGAAACGACGAGTAGAGAGCGGTAAAGTGACAGAGGCGAGGGATTGTGGAGTCTGGGGTAGGCAAGAACCCGGTGGAAAGGGGAATCGAGGGTGAATGTCACATGCTCTCGACTTTCCGGTTTGCGTCACGGGGAATTATTTCATTGCCTCTGTGAGAGGCGGAAGTAGAAAAGGTGGAAGTAAGGGACCGAGGGATTACCAGGGAAAGAGAAAGAGGATCTTTATTGCTCTCCGAGCCTCCAGCTGGTATCATGGATGGCACAGGTATATATTACGAGGTTCGCGGACTGGATACGACTCGGTCGTAATAATGTTACGCGACAGTGAAGGAGGTACAATAAGAAACGAATTTTAGTAGCTCTCTCGACGGTGTCCGTTATATTTATACGAGTCCCGATGATTCCATTTTTCGAGCAGACCGTCGTACGTCGCCGTGCAATCCGTTCCCGCGATTTTAATTCGCCGTGAAACAGCATTTGATCAGATCCGATCAGGAACGAAGTTATAATTTCCGGAATTCCACGAGGGATCCCGCGAACAATGCTTTTACCCGCCATTGTGCTCGGAGCTTCTTAACGATGTCTGGCAAGGGTATTATCTTCAACTTTGGAATGTTATCAGAGAGGGTGCTCTTTCACCTTAATGAGCATTATCGCGAGTAATATTCTCTCCTTTTAAAATACATTTATTTATTTCACTTCGAATTCCGTCGCGAGTGGGGACAAATGTAAAACTGCAAATCCCGCGAACAATGAAAGAGAAACGTAGCGCGGTGCACGCGTTTTTCGTTGACTGTTTGGCGCGTAAAAACAAACGATTTGCCGTGCCTCGATGCAAAATTACTTACAAAGTGACGCTCAAACGATAGCAGTGTTGTCGATGAAGACACAGTGCATTGTCAGATAACAAAGAGTGATTACAATGGAGGTCTTTTGTCCGAACGCCTTGAGCTCGAACATTTACCCTTTCTCGCTTAGAAGACACCGATTTATTTAAACGCAAAACAAGCGTCTACGATGGTTTAGGAATTTTGCTGGAAGCGTGGCGACGGGACAGGTAGCAGGAAACGAATACCCGTGGGTCAATCGGATATACATACGTAGACTCGTACGAAAGTTACTACGTAAGTTAGGCGATCTTTCATATCAAATATCTCCGTCTTGGGGATTTGTGTAGCACGTTTTCGAGAGAAGAGTGGTCGCGTAAACAGGCGACAGATCGGATTCTCCGGTGAATACGAAATGCACTACGCAGCGCGGAACGCAAAGGGAGAGGAAAATATAAATTTGTCGAGAGTTCCGTCTCGCCGGATCTCCGGCAGTCTTCCTTGTTCGTTCGTTGTTCGGCTACTACGGAGTTTCGCCAACACATCGACTACCTGTGCCACGCAAAAGGGAAAAAACTTGGTAGGAAGTTCGTTTCGCCGTCAAGTGACAAATCGTTCGTCCGATGAACCTTACCCTTCTGCCTGGCCGCCGTTTGAAAGCCGTGTAATCTTCCTCGAGAACCGGCGGGAAAGGTTCGCGAAGAGAAAACGAAAAAAAAAAATTTCTCGCCGAATCGAAGGAACTTCGTTGTCGAAGTTTAGTTGCCCCGTTAATTTCCGAAATTTCATTATTCAAAGTAATATTGGACGTTTAATGGAAGTCAAACATTACGGAAGTTTGCTCCGCGAACGCCGGGAATTTTTTTTTTTTTTTCAGAATTTCCACGGAACGAAACTAGTTGCATCGCAGTTCATTATGGTCGTTTAATGTTGTTTTAATAGGTGGAATTTAAGTAATGGATAATGCATTTATTCAACGACTTATCGATAGCGAGAAAAACTCGCGTGTTTTCGATCGATCGGTCGAACGACTGCAATTGTCCCGATTACGTTCGACATCGCGCACTGTATTATCCGTCGAAAGTTTCGCGACATTTGCCAAAGTGCGCATTCGGGGATTTGTGGTGTTTCGTAGGATAATGGACTTTTACGAACGACTCGGAATCCCTCGTTTCTCCTTTTTATGGCTCTAACACGAAGAGATTTCTGTCGATAGTTGAACATCGACGTTAAGAGTCGGAACTCTCGGTCGTCGTGACTTCGCGAGACCGTAACGTTCCGTAAAATTACGCGAATCGTCTCGAATTTCCACGGTGATCGGTGTTTTTGCGAAAACAGTCGTTGGAAATATCAATAGCGTGAGCTAAAAGAATCAGCAATTATATTCGTAACGATTACCAAACATAGCTGGGCATTTTTAGAATTTTCGTCCGTTGTTCGGGCGCGTTAGGATCGTAAACGAGGCGGAAGAGTATGGTTAACGTCGATAACTCGGATAAAGAGTGTAAGTTTTGCAAGATGGCTCGTCTGGGGTAATGATTGTCCGACGAGGGGGATAATTCCTCGCATACTCGTGGCTTGCGACGCGCGAATGCCAGTTTGGAAGATTAAAATTGGCGTCGAGCCAGGGTATTCATCGCGCGACGCGACGCGAGGCGAGGCAAGGCGACACCAGCACCGCGTGGTGTCTCGGAAAAACCGACCTGTACTCTTCTAGCCTCTTCACCATTGAGCCGTCTTCTTCCTTCTTCTACTTCGTCTACTTCGTACTTCCTTCCTTCGAGTACGCGAACGCCGTCTCTAAATGGAATTGGCCTCGCGCCAGTGAATACTCGCGGTTCAAGGAAATAGGATTTCTCGTTCGGTACGTAAGATTTGAAAGACGTTTACGCCTCTGAAACCTCTTCTGCCGCGATTTACGCGCGATCGCTTATGCGTGGAAATCTCTCTCGCTAGACGTCGAGGCAGATATTACTGCGCGAAACGGGACCCGTTCATCCTAACCCAACGTACGATCTCCCGCGTATCTGCTCCAAGTCGCGGTGGTTTTCTTTCCAGCTTTATTTTTACGCTACCAATCTTCGCGATCGTGATATACCCTCGCGAATGATTTTTATTTTAATTTTAAAAATTCCCTGGCGTCAGTACCGAAATAGCGATCAAAGTTGGGTGGAAAATACGGTTCTTCAACAATAAAACTGGATCCTCCACCATTAGTGTTGCGAATAAGTTGTTCATTATTGCCAACCGTAGTTTCCAACAGGATATACGGGAGTATGCTCTTAATATCTATTTAGTTGGATAGTTTAGCGTTTCTATCGAAGTAACCAGCGAATTCCATTTCCTCGAATTATAATACGCGAACTTAACGTTTCACGATTAATTTAAATTACTGGTAGCGCAGTCTCCCATTGTTTGGAATCGTTTAGCGTTAGAGCGAAGGAAACTGTTACTTTCCAGTTTTCGAATCCTCACAAGGGCGATGTTCTTTCCAGAACAAAGTGTACGTAAAAGGTTTTCGTTAATTATAGCTCCTAGATTCGACCGTGTCGGTCGATGAAGCTGACTAGCCAGGATGACGTTTTACGGTCCCATTGTTTCGCGAATCAAGAGGCACAATGGTTCCCATCGAAAATACCGTTCGCATTCGAGTGGTATCGTCAACGAAACAAATATAACGTTAAATGGTTTTCCACAGCGACATATCAGTCCGTTATATTCGATTCGGTTCAAATTCATTGTTTATTATTTTCTCATAGAACTTTCATTGTTCCTTGTTTTCAAAAACGAACTTTTATTTCAAGAATCATATAATTTTTTGAAATACGAGGTTGACGAGTCCCTTTCAGACTCGAGATTCTTGGGCTCGAAAAAGATCCCCGAAAGCCGGTTCCGGCGTTGTTGGCAGAGCCACCGTGTCTTGGCACCCCGCAGTTCCTCCGAAATCGCCATATTTGTTTCGCCAACCATACCGTGCGAACGTCTCGACAATACGCGGCTCTTTTCCAGCACGAACGAGCCGGTCTGCCTTTCGGTTCATTTTCCCAGGCACCAGGCACATCGAATTTATGTCGGCGAACGAGTTTCCTCGAACAGAAACGCCACGGTTGAACGTGGTTGTCGTGCAGCTTGATCAATTATGATAGATGCTCGGCTACTGACATTTCATAAACGACGGGTAGCTACTTATGATAATTTCGTTTATCGCTCTAGAGCTATTTCTAGCTGGCGATCCATTATTTTCCACGGTAGAAACGGTCCTATCAATTAAATCGGTGGAAGCATCGCGATATAACATTTTCACGCTAATGAAAGTTGTGTATATTATTTAGTAAGTCTCGTTAGTAATCGTCAGGTCGCTAGATGTTATTTCTTTCGATTATTTTGCTCGCTAGTTTTTTCAACGATGGCAACGAAAGTGCCGTAGCACGTAGTCGATAATTTTAAGTAGTCGTGGCGTTAATGGGTCGGACGTAAACGTACGGTCGACACTCACCTCCGTGCACCTCGCAAACAAGGAAGAGGTCGGCTCCTTCGGGATAGGCCTCGAGTAGTTTGCTCATGTCTCTCCTCTTCGCGTCGTAGATTATCGGCTTGGCTGGCGGCACTGCGAACAGAAAACGAGGGAGGGAAGACGTGAGCCACAATACGTTCGAGACATCAAGTGGAAGCGATAGAAGCGGGGACGGACCCGCGACGACGACGAGGAAACGGAATAAAGGCAACGGTGGGGGGATCGCGCGCGAGACGGAAACGATGGAAGGAAAATAGCTTTCGCTCGGCTCGACGCTTCCTCTTTCTACGCCCGGTTCCCGTCTTCTTCTTCGACTCTTTCATCAGCCGGCTCGGTCGCGATACTGTCGCGGGTAAATGCAAACAGGCCGAGTTCCATCCACGACGCGCGTCCCCCATCGGATGCTGGATGGAAATTGCCTCCGGCTATCGTCGCGGCAACGGCTGCTGGAACCATACACCCCCTGCGCTCTTATACTGCTTTCTCGCTAAGAACGTAGCTGCGTTCCATCCGTTTCCGAGGCGAGGAAGAAGCGGATGGTTGCTGGCGGTTCGACCGAAACGAGGAAAAGATCGCGAAGTTCCTAGCTGCTAAAACGCTAGAAAGGAACTCTCGTTCGGATAAACTCGATAACCGAGGATGCGCGTCGCTTTCAGGGAGCGTAAGATATTCCGCATACGATTCGCCTCGATTTGGGAATACGTGCAACCATCGTGGCCGTTTCGCACCCTTCGCCATCTGCTTGGAAAATATCTATTGCCGTTACGTTTTGACCTTTGACCGCCTTGCGATCACAATCGTTGAATTCTTTAATAAGTCTACGCGTCTAAACGTATTTTAATTTGTAACAGCGAAGTCCGACCGAAATATACAGGCTCGGTTCGGCCACCTCTGGGAAAAGTTTTAATGGGGGACTCTAGTAGTCAAAATAAGAGAAAAATCAAGAATACCAATTTGTTGATTAAGGTTTCGTTAAAAAGTTATTAACGCTTAAAGTTCTATAAACTATATTAGAAGGTGGCAAATTTTTCGGTAAAATTAAAAATTTTCGAATCGTTCTAAAAAAATTATTTTTAGTTGTAGGGATCAATTACAATCAGTTTTGGTCAATAGACATAACCCTGAATTCGCACTCAGTTTCGAGAAAAAAATTCGAATAGGTGTGAAATTTTTCGACAAAATTACAAAATTTCAAATCGTTCTAAAAAAATTATTTTTAGATGCAGGTGTCAATTACAATCATTTTTGGTGAATAGACATACCCCCGAAATCCTACGCACTTTCGAGAAAAAAATTCCTTACCGAAAGTACAATGTCTGACCAATATCTGATTCATTCCACTGAAATTTCGTCAAAATTAAACAATTTCAAATCATTCTAAAAAAATTATTTTTAGTTGTAGGGATCAATTACAATCATTTTTGGTCAATAGACATACCCCTGAATTAGCACTCAGTTTTGAGAAAAAAATTCGAGTAGGTGTGAAATTTTTCGACAAAGTTAAAAAATTTCAAATCGTTCTAAAAAAATTATTTTTGGTTGCAGAGGTCAACTACAATCATTTTTGGTGAATAGACATACCCCCGAAATCCTACGCATTTTCGAGAAAAAAATTCTCTATCAGGCGGAACTTTAATAACTTTTTAACGAAGCGTTTATCAATGAATTGGTGTTCTTGATTTTCGTCTTATTTTGGCCTCTAGAATCTCGCATTAAAATTTTTCCCAGAGGTGGCCGAACACTTCGTATAAATTATTAAAAGACGGTTGAAGATCGTGGCGAAAGGCAGAGCAGCGGAAGGCAATCAACGGCTGTCCGTCCGTGAAAAACGAGCTATTTTGCATACAGCTTTCGTTCCTCGGTTAATTATCTGGAAGACTATAGTCGCATAATACCAAGGGGAATGAAATTAAAAAAGAAACCCGCGTTAACAGCGAGATACAAGCAAGAACGTTTCGCGTTTACCAAGCAGCGAGCGCATTGGAAAGAAAAGTGGAAAAAAGTTGTGCTCACAGACGGAAAGAAATTCAACATGGACGATTCTGACCGGTTTAATTAAATAAAATCTTTGGCAAAATGTTCCGCGAAGATGCTCGTCAAAAGATCGGACGGTAAACAAATTTCTTCCAAACATCCGTAGAGTTGAAAGTTGTAATACCTTGGAAGACGATTGCACGTACGGGTTCATCCAATTTATTGTTTGCTATTGCATTCGGTGTTTCGCTACGTCATCGTTTCGGAGATACCCTCGGACTGCTCGGTTGTTCTTTCCCTCGAGGAATCGAGGTTCTTAATCGTATTCGTTCGAGCGCCGGCTATAAAATCGTAAAGCGAGCGCTCGCTGGCCGTGGATCGATTTGCGAAACGAGGGACGATACGGTTTGCAAGGGATTCTCGTTCCTGCATCCTTTCTCTCGAGAACGATTACCGTTTCAGCGTCGACGCGCGAGAGGCGCCGCGCAAACGAGAACGAAGAACTCTAGGCGGACGCGAACGACTCGACGATCTCTGGAGTTTGTACAACAGACGGACGTCGTAATCTCGGTCGAGATTACAGCCAAGGCCGCCCAAGACGGCGGTTTAGTAGCACTAATGCCGGCATTCACGACCTTTTATAGCGCGTTTATCCTCTGCCTCGAGCCACCCCCGTACCTCAGACGCAATGTCTCTCGGTCTAGCCATTGTTCTTTCGACAATCGAGCGTTTTCCTTCGCTCGTCGTCGTTTCGAAAGCATCTTGTTTCGATATTCGCGCGTTACTCTCGATTCCACGTAAACGGTTCGGTATCGACGGTGTTTCTACCCAGCGTTTTCCAGCGGTCGTAAACCCGACGGGGCAGAAGACAAATCTCCGGAGATCGACGATCCAAGGATCGCGTGCTTTCGAAAGCCCGAGGAACGCGCAGGCTGGACGAATTCTTTCGAGCGGTTAACGCGGCTCGCGTTCAGGGATCGCGCGTCGGAAGGAATAACGTATGCGAAGCTCGGTCATAGCTTCCGTTCGCCTCTGCGAACCAGTCTGGAAAACTTTTACGGGAATTCTACGGCGAAAGGGATGCCGCGAGACGCCGACGTAAAGCGCGAAACGGAGGAACGGGATTACCGGAGTGACTTCTCGAGGAAGGGCTCTCGCGTTTATGTCGTTTTGTACCCGTGTTGCGCGAAACCCTCCGGCGAGTCTCGCTCGTAAAGCTTTACACCCCCCACCCCCCCCCCGACGCAGTCGCGTTACGTTTAACGGGAATCGCGGCTACGAACGATAACAGCGACGTATCACGTCGCTAATTTGTCGATTAAGCGCCGTAACGAGAGCACGAAATCGGAGCACGTCGGAATATTTTCAGAGGCAACGATCCGCGCGGACTTCGCCACGGAGGGAAGCTTTATCCGGCGACGGATCGCGGGTTAACTCGAGATTTTGAAAGGACTCACGCACGGCTCGTCGTCCCTCCCGGTACAAATCTCTGGATCCCCGGGTATAATCTGGAAAGTTTGCGGTGAAAACGGGCGGGACGATCGCGAGCCGAGGAGCTTCCCGTCCGCGCGGACCCCGATAGAGGCGAAGTTTTTTGAACGACAACGTGCAAACCGGGTCCGGCCGCCGGCTACGATAGCCGACGGCCTCTCCAGATCTGTTGGACCGGGAAAATATATTGCTAATAGGGTTTGCAACACGGCCCGTTAGTCGAGAGTAATGCGTTACCGCGGCGGGCGCGCGTTAAGCTCGTTTAACGGACTTCACTTTCCTACTTCCACCTTCGTTCGCCCCCTCCCCCTCGACACACACGAGGACTTTCCGCGACACCGATCGGATTTATAGACTTCTAGACTGTATCACGCACTCGTTATCGAACACTCGCCCTTCCGGAGATTTAACTCGCTCTCGACCCGTTCGACGTTTCATTCTTTTTCCGAGAGCATTTTTTAATTCTTCCGTTAATCCTCTCCTTCAAACCCCTATTTTATTCGCTTTAAAGAGATTCGTTCGCAGTTAACGGAGTCTGTCGGACGACTCGTGTCCCCCGTTTTACTATTATTTAAATCGAGGTGAAAATTCACCTCTTTTGTTTGAATTTAGAATTCCCATAAATACGAATTGCGAAAGATTCACCACTTTGTTTCGTACTCTGACAGTTCGTTCAGCGGTCGTATTTCATCCTTCGGTTCCGCGGCCCCAAGTTTCCTCGGTTTGACTTTTAAAAGTATTCTCAGGGCACAGGGTAGGCTATTTATCATCGCACCTCCGCCCTACGGGGATAAGTAGTAAAGAATTATAGATAAAACTTAGTCGCGTCTGCCCGTCACGGTAAACGGTGGGATTAAAATATCAGCAAAAGTCCAACCGGAACTGGGGGAAAGGGGGGCGGGAGGCGTTGTCGCAGACGGTAACTGGAAAACGTATGAAATCTCGCTTAAACTTGCTTCTACGCGGAAAGCATTTATGACATGATTTGTTGGAAAGTAAATTTAAGCCCTTTTTTGTTCTATACAAATTCCTAAAGCGGGCGTAGTCGCGGGTCACAGTCGCTCCGTAATATAATCCGACGTGACTTTATTTTATAACGTGGCCGTCATCCTCCATTTTCATCGTAGACGAATAAACGGTTAACGTATGAAAATAATAGCGCGCACAGAAACGCGGCGAACCTTAATTACACGTGTAACGCTATGTAACACGCGTATGCCTTGCAATCCTTTCATAGTTCTTCGTAACTCTTTCAAACTGTATAGTTTGGTCCGTGTATTTTCAAAAACAATTTACGTCGCACGGAGACAAATGCTGCGCATATTTAAAATACCTGACGCGTATTTTGGACGCTTCAGACCTTGATGCAAGAATGTAGATTTTTAAAATCCAAGAAGGTATAAATCTTCGAATTAGCAGATAATGCGTAACTCGCGAGTACAGGAAGTGGATTTCAGCGTGTCGGTTCCAGTCTCGTCACGTGCGACGAACTCCGGGAGTCGTTGGAACCACTGACGTCTCGTTCCGTTCCTTACGTCTGTCGAGCGTCCATGTCTCGAAGGCGTCGCGTCTGTTTCGCGGTTTCAAGCGCCAAACTCGCGTCGCCAGTCCGTTATGCCAGATATCAA